GGGACCGCCAGGCCGCGTTAAGCCTGGCAGGGACTGCTGAGGTGAAAGGGGACCGCGTTTTCTCTGTGCTGACCGCTTTCCCGCCTCATTCGTAAGGTGCTGAGGCACGAGGAGTTCGAGGAGGGCTGCAAAGCCAGCTGCAACGGGTGAGTGCCCCTGCGCCCCCTCCACGGTCCTTTGCTTCTCATAAAGCCCCTGCCAGTCACGACCAGCCACGTGTTGTCATTTTATAGGTAAAATAGGGGTTGGGTGGGTGGGTTGGTTGGTTTTTAAAGCAATTCCCTTGGAATCAACAGCTCTGCTTTTTTGTGTAGGTGTGATGTTTGCACTGAAACACAGGTATTGCTGTATTGCACCTGTAGACTGATACTGAACTTTATGAAATTATTTCTAAACTTTCCTGGAATTGCATTCAGTTACGCTGGTTTTTTACAGGCGCGGGGCTGTCTAGGGTCTTGAGTTAAAAATCCCTCCTGGTAGCTCCAAAGGCTTTTGTCTTTCTTCACGAATGAAAGAAATCGTACAATCTGGTGCCTAACCGCTTACTTTTCCTACTTCGCAATAAGGCAGCACTCATATAATTCCAGCTGATGAGCAGTTTGTGCTCTTAAAATGTGAGCTGTTAAAGAAGGAGGTAGAACCGCTTTTGTCGCGTGGTCATGAATGACAGCCCAAGGTCAAAACTATTGGCCGGGGGGATGCCTGCCTGCTCTGTGCTGAGGTGCAACGAGAGTTCTTCACAGGTATCAGCTCCCACTTGGTGGGAGGTTACTGGATTACCTGTGCCGTTTGTTTACTCTAGAAATGCAGTTCTTCCTTGAAACACTAGTACTTGCAGTTCTCGATGTTTATTTCTAATACTCGTGACAACTAAATATGGATGTTCCAGCCCTTATGATGGAAAATGGAGCAAAACGATGGTGGGCTACGGGCCAGAAGACAATCACTTTGTTGCAGAATTGACTTACAATTACGGTATTGGAGAATATCGCCTGGGTAATGACTTTCTGGTAAGTACCACACTTAGCAGCAAAATCTTTCTTCTTACGATAAGCTTTTTTTTTACTTTTATGATTAGGAGTCTGTTTGGTGTGTAGGTTGTACCAGTTGCTTTTTTATGCTGTTTGGTCCCTTAGACGCTTTTTATTCTTGCTTTTGTAGTTGTCTCCAAGTCGGAAGAGCAGAAACTAGAGCAGCTTTGTGCTCACTTCGGAGCTCAAGGAAGCGCTTCCTCGAGCTCCACCTCTTAGCTGCTGTGCGTGCAGGACAGCTGGTATTTGCTGCCAGATCCAACGTGGAATGGTTAGCTAAGAAGGATCTTGCTGTAGGAAAACACTCTTTTATTTGTTATTACTTATTTCTTTGTTGTTTACTAGCTGACAGCCAATGGAGATCTCATGTTTCATCTATGAAGACATGTAATTGTGTTTTCTCATTGTTTCCCCTGAGCTAATATTCTTCTCCCAGTTTGCGGGGGGTGAGGGAACAGCCGCTTGGGGCCACGGATGTCTACCTCACCTGGCAGAACAGTTAGGAACTCCGTTTTCCTTTTCTGTACAATGCGTCGAATCAGAGTTTTAAATTCCTTTTGCCTTTCTTTTCCCTTTGGTGTGAAAGAAGGGTAGATTAATGCATCCCAAATACATGTGGGATGCGCAGTAAGACTAAGCTTATTTTGTAGGAGCAAGATAGCTGGTTCTCAGGAGATCATACGGTCCATCTGTTATAAAAAGTAACCTCGTTTGTTTCTGGTCATTTGTAGAGGCAGACTATTGAAAGGTAGGACTTGCACACCAGCCACCCTGTGAATTTTGTGTGTGTCTGTTCTGTTCTCACTAGGGCATAACACTTGTGTCCAGCCAGGCTGTGAGCAATGCTAAGAAGATGGGGTGGCCCCTCAGAGAAGTCACAACTGGTATTTTTGAAGCTGAAGCCCCAGGAGGATACAAGTTCTACTTGGAAGACAAGGAACAGCTCAAGCAAGGTGAAACTCACGCACTTACACACTCTTACTGGTGTTCACAACAGATTTACGAGTGGGATATCAGAATGGGCTGCGCATTTGTCTCGATGGCATTTTATGAAACAGCACGTTTTTGTTATTTCTTTGTTACTTTCCTTCTCAAGAACGTGCAACTGAGTTTAAAACTACAATATATTTGTAACTAATTTCAAATTATTGCAATCTTGTAGATCCTGTGCTGAAGGTAACCTTGGGTGTCTCCGATCTGCAGAAGTCTGTTAACTACTGGTCTGATTTGCTCGGGATGAAAATATACGAGAAGGATGAGGAAAAACAAAGGGCTTTGCTAGGCTACGCGGATAACCAGGTTAGTCCTTAGAAAACTTTCCAGTTCTGATCTTTAAGAGTCGCATCTCGTCATAGAAACATCTCGTTTCATGAGAACAAAATCTCAAAGGGAAAAAAGGCTCTTAACTAAAGCAACTGTGCGCTTAATTCTGTGCATTTAAATTAAAGCTTGCGTACGCTTAACTGTATTTTTGTAAAAAAAGCTGTGGTTTGCTCTGGTAATTCTGGCTTGTTGGGAAATATGTATATGGGCAATTTTGAAATCACCTGCATCGGTGAAAAGCTGGAGCGAATGTAGCACTGAGAACCGCGTCCTCGCAAGTCAGGCTTGCTTTTTTCCTCTTTCAGTGTAAGTTGGAGTTGAAGACTGTTGGAGGAGCGGTGGATCATGGGACGGCCTTTGGGCGGATTGCCTTCTCCTGTGCAAAGGAAGAGGTAACGATCACACTTCCCTCACCCCTTTCATTACCCAGAGCTGACGAGTGGGAGGTTAATTTCTAGTATTAGCAAAATTTCTCAGATGTGAACAAAATAATACTGAGCAGATGCTTTGTATTTCTCGCAGTGGGAATGTAATGGAGTTGTGGGTAATGGGAAACTGTAAATGAGAACAACCTGAATGCATCTGACCTTCATCTGACTAGGGCTGACTTTTGTTTGTTTTCTGTTTAAGTTGCCAAACATTGAAGCACTGATGAAAAAGGAGAATCAGAAAATTTTAACACCTCTGGTTAGCTTGGACACACCTGGCAAAGCCACGGTGCAAGTGATTATTTTGGCTGATCCTGTGAGTAATATTGGAAACGGTGATTAAATTCGATTTAAATTTCTCTCTGCCGTTACCTAAGTTAACCTGCTCTTAAACTTGGTTTAGGATGGCCATGAAATCTGTTTTGTGGGAGATGAAGCATTTAGGGATCTGTCCAAGGTGGACCCTAACGGTGACAAATTGTTAGACGATGTAAGTAGCGCTGCCTGCACGTTCGTTTTCTTCCTGATTATAGATACCTGCAGAATGTAATTTTCGTTCCACGTGGAGTTTTTCTGAGAAGCAAATTGTACAGTCTTGCTAAGAAAAACAAATCACTTTTTAAAGTTGACTTAGTGTCCTGGCTAGAGTTTTCCGGCCTCGTGCTCGGGGCGGCCGGGTGGTGGTGTGTCTTGCTGGACATGTCGCCAACGCTTTGGTGGAAGTTACTGCAGCTCAAAACTAACTTTCTGTAGTAAGGTCAGCACAGCTGGACATCCTCCCGAGGCAGAGGGGCTCCGGTGTGGAGCATGAGCTGTGTGGGAAGGCTGTGTTTAAACTATCCTGTTTTGCTCTTGTATTACCAGAACATCTATTTACTTGCTGCAGCAGAGAACAGTGGTTTTCAGTGTCTGTTTTCCTTACTAGTATGTAAAAAAAAATAATATATCCATCAGAATAGCTTTCCTCCAAATCAGAAGGTGTCCTCGTGATCGGTCCGGGTTTGTGGGAGAGGCTGGTGAGTGTGAGCAGCCGGGCGTCTGGCAACTCGGCTGCTGTTCTGAACACGTTAACGCTTTTCTTTGCGCAGGCCATGGCGGCGGACAACAGTGACAAATGGTTTGCTGCGCAAAAAATGAAGAAGGCTTCTGCTTAGCTGGAGAAAAAGGACTGGGCTGCTTGTTCGTGCCTTGGTTTTGAAAGTGAAAGGCCAATCCTATGTAACGTGTTGCATTATCCCTTCCAGTAAGAGGGTGCCGTAATATCCCATGCTGGTTGGTTTGTGTCTCTTTAAGCTTGTGTCTCTTACTGCTGCTCTCTCCTTTCAAGCAAATAGCATGTTCTCCTTCAGAAAAATTTGGTTGTGCCACAAGGAGCAAGGTTGAGCACGTGGCTTCAAAAACAGGGGCCACCAGTTAAGAGGAAAACCTCATTTCTCTCTTGTTGTACTTGAAAAAGAAGTTGCTAGCTTCGTTAGAATATCCAATTCTCTAACTAATTGGCTTTAGCTGTCCTGGATTTGCAGCTGGTGGAAGAGGTCGCTGTGGCTGTGAGTGTCGCAGGTGCCCCGCTGCCGTGGCAAAGTGTCGGGCTGTGTACGGAGAACTCGAGCAGTTCAGCTATCGCGGTGAATGCCTGTTTATCGGGAACGGAGAAGTTATCTTGCTAAAGCACGTGAATAGTCTAGTCTGGAACAAACCCCATTTTCATTCCAAGATGTTTCCCCAGCTTTTGAGGTGAAGTTTTCACTTGAGAAGCGCGTGGTGCGTTTCTCACTGGGGTCACGTTACTGATGCGGTGGTTTCCACCCCTTACCGAGGAGCCTTCCACATTCCGGGCGGGAGCTGGGGCTGTGCTTCAGGGCGCGTAGCAGCGCTGCGCTGTCTGCTGAGGTGCCGGGAGGCAGCTTGAAGTGAGCGTATCATGGTCTTACAATTAGCTTTTGATGAGAAATGGCCTTCGGAAGTAACAGTTCGGGGTTTATTCCGTTGGAATGCAAAGTCACTCTGCTTTTGCTAGTGGAACGAGGGCTGGGAATACAGGGAGTAATTACCAGCATTGTCCGTGTCGGGCACGCTGCCTGGTTTCTAATCTTTCTTGATGAAAACCTTTAAGTTTCACAGCGGAAAAGCGGGCACAATCGGCAGCGTTAGCGGTCACCGAGGCACGTCGGCGCTTGTCGTGAATATCCCGAGTTCAAACAGGAACAATCCCTCGCTGTGATTCTGTTGCTTGAGCTCTTTGATTCAAGTTCAGCGACGACTTCCAGTCGTGGTGTCGATCAATTTAAAAACGCCGCGCGTAAGCTGCACCCCTGAGACTGGCGCTGCCGCCTGCCCGCGTCGCCCGTAAAAGAATAAAAGCGATTCGGAAGGACGGTTTGAGCGCGTTTCTTCCACCTGCCCGGCACGGCGCCGCACCCGCGTTCATCTCCCTTTTAATTGGGTTCTCCGTTTTCATGCACGCT